ATGTGGCACTGGGGGCCAGGGTGCAGTTGAGGTGTTGGGGCTGGGCTGGACTCGGTGATCTTGAAGGTCTCTTCCAACCTGGTCATTCTGTGATTCTGTGAATTCTATGTGTGCAGACCTCCCCCATTTCTTGCTGCCATTGTAGGAGTGAGTCCTTGAGCTGCTGAGCTCCTCTGGCAGTGCTGGCACCCCCAGAACAGGATCCCCCTGTCAGACTGTGGGTGTTTCAAAGATTGATGCTGGCACAGTGTTGGCAGCACAGAACCAGGCAAAAATACCCAACCCCAGCACTGGGGAAGGATGTTTTTTTGCTGGCTCTTTAAAGCCTCTGTCAAGGAGATGAATGTGAAAGGTACACCCGAGCAGGTGTTCTCCTAAAAATCCATCAGAGCAGCTTCTGTCCAAGGAGAGAGACCTCAAACAAAAGCCAGCATCAGCAAACTCTGACAAACAATGGTTTCCAAGGAGAACTCAGACTTCCACCCAAGCCTGGCTCAGCCAAGCACAAAAAACTCAGTCCTGGGGAAAAACTTAGCACTTACTCAGCAGAATTTCTTAAAAATATTCATTCCTCACAGAAGAGCATGGAATAAACATCTGAGTGCTGATTCTCAAAATCCATAATTCCTCTAATATTATTAATAGCATATATGATCTCATTTGATCCTCTCTGCCAATGAACAGAGATAATTAATCACAGAATCGTAGAATGGCTTGGCTTGGAAAGAGCCTCAAGTCCCATCCCATTCCACCTCTGCCATGGAAGGGACACCTTCACCACCCCAGGCTGCTCCAAGCCCTGTCCAGCCTGGCCTTGGGCACTGCCAGGGATCCAGGCACAGCCCCAGCTGCTCTGGGCACCCTGTGCCAGGGCCTGCCCACCCTCAGAGAGAATTTCACCCTAACATCTAATCTAAAGCCACTCTCTTCCAGTTTAGAGCCAGCAATAAAAGCATATATTAAATAAAGCATGTATTGCCTGCAAGCCTGTGCATTCCAGAAAAAAATGGTTGTTATCTCTTCAAACAACTGTCAGGCCAAATGTGTGCAGGGTCTGAAGCAGAATGTGAAGTTTTTCTCAGAGCTCTGTCTGTATGTCACTGCCACTACAATTATGTTCTGTCTGTAACAGCACTTGAACCATCACCAGACATTTTACTGAGCTCAGGCTTTTGAGATGTTTTCATTTAGAGTCAAAGGGTTTCTTTCTCCTGTGCAGTGCAGAACCAAGCAAAAGAGAAAGAAAGGATGAGTGCAAATCACTTCAGCAGTGCAGCACAGATGAGTGGCTGTCCCTGCTCGGTTTGGATTGCAGGCTATTGGAATTCAGCGTTCCCATCGATTTTCCAACATGCCCAAGCTGCATTCCCCATGTGGTATCGACTCAGCTGGGAAGCCATGAGGCAGAGACAGTTAAGAAAATATTTACAGGAGACTGAGCCCTACAGTAAATCAGTAATGAACTTGTTTGTCTGACCCATTTATTCATGACCCATAAGTGAGCTTCTGCTTTCTTCTGGAAACGTCTCCCCCACACACACAACCCCACAGTGGTGCTGCACAAACCCCCAAAGGCAAAACACATCCTCAATTCCTCCATCAGAACAGACCCTCAATTCCTCTATCAGAACACATCCTCAATTCCTCCATCAGAACAGATCCTAAATTCCTCCATCAGAACACATCCTCAATTCCTCCATCAGAACAGATCCTAAATTCCTCCATCAACTTTTCCAGTTTCTGTAATGAACACAAACAGAGAATTTGCATTGTGACCGTTCCTTCCAATCTCTTTATTAACTTCTACTCAGCCAAACATGGGTGAGCTTCCTCCAGCTGAGCTGTAGAAGTTGAACATCTCCTCCGGAGCCAGCTGGGAGAGCTGGGGGTGCTCTCCTGGAGAGGAGAAGCTCCAGGGAGAGCTGGAGAGGCACTGGGGACAAGGGATGGAGGGACAGGACACAGGGAATGGCTCCCACTGCCAGAGGGCAGGGATGGATGGGATTTTGGGCAGGAATTGTTCCCTGTGAGGGTGGGCAGGCCCTGGCTTGGGGTGCCCAGAGCAGCTGTGGCTGCCCCTGGATCCCTGGCAGTGCCCAAGACCAGGCTGGACAGGGCTTGAAGCACCTGGGACAGTGGGAGGTGTCCCTGCCATGGCAGGGATGGGATGAGATGAACTTTAAGGTTCCTTCCACCCCAAACCATTCCAGGATTCTGTGATCTCTTTCCATTCACTTTAGCCCTGGGAACAGCTCTCAGACAAGTTTACACAAGTTAACAATGTTCTGCTTCCTGCAAATGTAGAAGTGTAAAAGCGAAATATTCTGTCAGGTAGAACAGACACTGTCTTCCACTCTGAGTGTTTAATTTCAGCTGTTTATAACTCTTCCTCACACTCACATCAAAGCACCCCCAGGACAGGCAGGGGATGAGGGTTGCTTGTGATACAGCTTTTCTCATGTAAAGGCTTAGCATTACAAGGAAGTATTGAATGTGATGCACACACACGTTTAAATAAGTGTCTCTGAAGAAAATAAAACTTGTTAAGCTCATCCCACCCTTTATGCTTTTACAGGACCTCTGAAAACTGTTTGATGCTCCGTGGGTCCCTTTCTCAGTGACCTGACACCTCTCTGAAGTGCCAAGATTTTATGAACAGCAGCTGCACTTGCCCATGTTGCTTCCAAACCCACAAAGATTTCAGAAATAAATGAGGATTCATCAAAAGCAACATTTTCCCTCGAAGGCTGTTTCCTCTAATCCAAAAGAACACAGACACTCTTCCCAAGTGCCTTGTCTAAGACTTTCAGCAGCACAAAGGACACAGATTCCAGGGGGAATCCATTGAATCATGTAACATTTTGGGTTGGAAGGGACTTTAAAGCTCGTCTTGTTCCACTCCTGCCATGGCAGGGACACCTTCCACTGTCCCAGGTTGCTCCAAGCCCCAGTGCCCATCCTGCCCTTGGACACTTCCAGGGATCCAGGGGCAGCCACAGCTTCTCAGAGAAGCAGCTCATCCAAGAGATCATGGGAGACTTTAAACTGTGGTAGAAGCAGAGAAATAAATGGATGCAAAGCAGCAGAGAATCAGGATTCCTTCATCCTGTGCTCACAAGGCTCTTTACCCAGCTGCCTGACTCCAGAGCACATCCTTTCCTACCCAGCCCAACACTCCAACACTCACCTGGCACCAGTGACCTGACAAAGCAAGAGAGCCCTCAGCTCAGGGAGGGCTTGGGCAAGGCTTTCCTCCTTAAATCTGTGCCTCCAACCACTGCTGAGGGAGGAGGATTCACCTCTGAGCACAACAATGCCCTGGGATCTGACATTCCTCCGCGCACTGCTGCCACACCTTCTCCAAAAGCTGAACTGGTGTTTGTTTGGGTGACATGGGAACGTCAGAAAGAGCAGACAAGCTCCTGCTCCTGCCCAGGGATCCCAGCCTGCTGGGGTGAGCTCAGGAGGAGCCAGAATGTGGGACAAGAGGAGACAGAAATTAGTGCTCGTGATACAGATTAAGTACAAACACAATGCTTTGTTGATTACTGTGTCCAAAGGAGCTTTTAAGAAAAAAACAGGCAGTTTTCTTAGAAGACAGTTTTAAGAAAAAACAGGCAGTTCTTGCCAAGAAATACTCTTAGAGATGCTCAACACAAGTGTGCACTAACTTTTATGTGTTAGAAAAGAAAAATCCTATCATTTTATAGCTCTCATCTGATGCTGTTTGCTGCAGTCACAATGGGCTCTAAGGCTCTTTCCAATTTTCCAGCACAAAGTCCTAATCTGAGGATGTCCTAATGAGGCCAGAGAAATGCTCAGCACTGGCACAGCCTGGCAGTTCTGCCATGGACCCTGAGGCTCTGGCCAAATCCCCAGGTCAAGGTTTGCATCTGAACAAACTCTCCCTGTGTAAATGAAGACTCACTTTGGCCTGTGGCTGCCACCATGTGCAGAAGCATTTGTCTTGGAGAAAAACAAAGCAATCTGCATAATCCTGGCAAATGGCAAAAGCAATTTCAGCAGTCACATCCAGCATTTTGTGCTGCAATTTCCTAAAGGATATTCCAGGCAATTTTAAGCACACACCACCTCCAAGAATCAGCCTAGCACTGCAGCCACTTTGGCTCTGTGGGGAAGGAATTTAAGGTTTTTCAGCTGGTGCTAATGAAACATGAGGATAGGGGTGCTCCAGGTCCAGAAAGCAGCACATCCCCGTGGCAGAGAACTTGATTATCTCAAGGTTTCTCTGCCTCCTTGCTCTTCTCCTTTACATAGTGCCTTCCACACATCTTTCCCAAAGGATTTAAGGACCAGTCTCTCCAGCTGGCTGCCCTCTCCTGGATGGAATCAAAAAGTGTTTGATTACTTCAACTTAGATAAAATGCAGTGATCTGCTTTTAATTTTTTTTTCCTTGGGTCTGTGTAATCACAAAGGTTCCACTGTGCCAGAACAAGAACTATGAAATTCTAAGGGGCTGCTTCATAATCCTCAACGGAGCTGCCAACTTTTTTTGAGAGTAGAGTTTTTAGCCAAATTGCCTTTTATATATATATTTTACAAAGTTCTAATTTTTTAGGTTTCTTTCCTGTATTTACCATTGCCTAAATCCCACTGCTGTTCCTTTGTAAACTACTTAATCCCTGTCCTCAAACACGCTGGAAAACATTTCCATATCTCTTTGTTGCTGAAGGTAAGCGTGTTAAACACAGAATATTTCAGTTGGAAGGATTCTTATATAATCTTTTCCTCTGCCTCAAGTCAGGGTCAAATATTTCTTTGCTACTCTCAACCAGCACTTGGCTGACCCCAGTTAGAGCCAGCTGATAATGGGGACTGCACGGTTTTTGTACCAGTCCACTCCTTCCCCACTTAACCATTGGCGCTCCTACAGGTTTGTTTGCCACTCCTGAGCCCAGCAAAGCTCTGGAGATGATTTTCCCAAGGACCCATTCAGCAGGGAGCTGGGAGTTTCCCTCGGGGAGCCCTCATCTTTAAATCGCGGGCAAGGATTAGGATGCAGAGAGGAAAGGCAGGGGACAGACGCCCCTCGCAGCGGGATTCAGCCGCCGGAGCCTCCTCGGGGCGTTGTGCGAGCGCTCTCACACGAGCAGCCGGGCTCTGAAACTTTCACTGCACATCTGCGCATCCCTGCCTGCGCTCGGCAGCCAGCCAAGCGCCGAATTCCTGCGAGCCCGTGCAGCTCCCACACGTCCAGAGCGCCGGGACCCAGCGGGAGCCGGCTCGCCGGGAGCCGCGGCGGAGCCCCGAGCGCTGGATGAGGCTGCCACGGCGGCGGCGATGTGAATGGCTCTGCGGGCTGGCCACAGCGGCCGAGCACGGGGGTGCCACAGCAGCCTGGACACGCTGGGGCAGCGGCGAGCCCGCGGCGAGCAGCGCTGCGGCTCCCAGGTGAGACAGCGAGCGGGATGCGGCGGGATGCGGCGGGATACGGTGGGATGCGGTGGGATGGGATACGGTGGGATGGGATGCGGTGGGATGGGATGTCTGTGCAGCCAGCACGGCGTGGTTCGGCGCGGAAGCGAAAATCGCATCTGCAAAAAGCAGGTTCGGCCGCGCGCACATCTGGAAGGTGTTGGTGGGGCAGCTGCGGGTGAGCTGAGAGCTTGGAAAGCGTCTTTAGGGAGAGCAGCTTAATCTCAGGGAAATGCAAGTGTTCTTAGGGTTTTTATCCAGGTATATGGGAACTTAGTTTTATTTGCATTCTACAGCAGTTGCACCTATATGAAAATTCTTTCCTGGCTTTGTTCTGAATATTGAGGCTTTCTTATTTCCTTTTTTCCCTGCCCCGTGATAATTCTAGTCTGGATAAAAAGTCCTTTCTTTCTTTACTAATAAATAGGAATTCTGCTAAATCAAAGCATGACTGGCCCAAGGCAGGGTCCTTTTAGCTGCAGACAGAGCAGTGCTTCACCAGAGGCCGTGTATCCTCTGGGATGTCCACTTGGAAAAGCTCACGACCTCCCTGCTGCCTGTGTGTAGTGACAGGATGGAGCTGACAATGTTTATTGATTTATAGCTGGTGATAACACTGTTTTAGCTGAGACACTGCTCACAGATAAAAACAGGGACCCCAGGCAGGGAGACAGAAGGAATTTGTGTGCCGAGAACAAAAAGTGTTTGTGCTTCGGTTCTTTCTTCAATTTAAATTCTCCTTATAAAGCTCAAGAAGTTTTAGAAAAACACCAAAAGTGAGCGTGCTTGTCAGGCTGGTTTTCCAAGTTGTCACAACTTGGAAGTTGCATTGTGGCTGTTAGACAGATAATTTATGGATGTTTTCATGCATTAGAGTATCACAATAAAGTTTTTGGGGCACTTTTTTTGCTAAGCCAAACTAAAATGTGACAATTATCAGCAGTCAGATAGAGAGGGAGCTGACTTGTCTGTACGTTCCTGCTTGTGGCACTTCTGAGCTGGTTCAGATATTGTGGAAAATAGGCTTTTAAAATCCCCCTGCCAAGTGCCATTTCAGGCAGTTTTGTCTGAAATTCAGAGGGTTACAACATTTTCTGCACTTCCCAAGAGGTTAGAGGGATGGAACGAAGGGATTTGAACGATGAATCAAAAATATTGGAGAGTTCTCAAGTATGATAAGAAGGACTCGGCCTTAGAATGTATTCATGATCACAGATATGAATCATTTTCAAACAAATCTCAGCGAGGTCTGGAGAGGAGCCCCCTGACACATCTGTGCAGACCCAGTGATTTCACAGCTTGATCAATCCCAGCCACTCACCCTGGAGGGATCTGGCCCTCCCAACAAGGTGGCAAAGAAAGTAACTGTGGCTGTATTTCCTCATCCTCATAGCTGAGCAGTGCCTCTTTTCCCCACCAAAGTCTGAAATTATATTTTTAGATGTCTTCATTTAAGTTCAGTGGGGAGCTAGAATGAGCACAAGCATCATTTCAACCCATATGCTAAATAAACAATTACTTCATAGGATAACTGAGCAGCCTATGAAATAACCACAGGATAGTAATTTAAAAACTAGTTTAGAAAAAGACCTAAAATATGTATTCAGATTAGCATTTTCAAGTGTAAAATGTCTTTATTTAATGGGATGCCTAGAACAAGGGTCAAATAGAACACATTAAAAACTAGATTGTTTCTATCAATAGAATAAAGCCCATAAATTCCCCTACTGCTCTATGGATTTGGCCACATAAATGTTCCTTTAAGCACAGATTCTATTAATTGGTTTTCTGTTTCCTTAAAAAATGCTTTTAGGACTAACAGAATATTGAATACATACTAATTAGCATTACTGATTTAAATTAAAGGCACGTGGAAAAATACTGGTAATTTTAAGAAGATAACAGAAATGTTTGATTTTTTTTTTTCCATCTACATTTTACAAACAAACTACTGATAAAGAAAAAAAAAAAAGATAAAGGGTTACTAAAAGCCATGGTTTCATTCCAAAAGATTCAGTGCTGCAACAGTGAGCGCTGGATTGGTGGGGTTAGAAATGTTTGTCAATCCCAAATGTGGGGCCAATAAAAGCTGGGGAAACTCAACCCCTTCCAGCCCAGCTACAGCAACGCTGACCTCTGCCGGCAGCTGCTCGGGCACAGGATTTGTTACACCGAAATATTCATTAAATCTCATTCTATTCCCTGAGAAAGGGGCAACACCTCTTCTCACTGAATTTATCTCGTGGAAAGAAAGAAAGAAATAAACTTGTCCCAGGGCAGCGGGGATGGAGAAGGGGCTGGAGCTCCAGGAGGGGCTGAGGGAGCTGGGAAGGGGCTCAGCCTGGAGAAAAGGAGGCTCAGGGGGAATCTGTGGCTCTGCACAACCCCTGACAGGAGGGGACAGCCAGGGGGGATCAGGCTGTGCTCCAGGGAACAGGGACAGGACAAGAATTGGCCCCAGGTTGTGCCAGGGGAGGGTCAGGTTGGATATTATGGAAAATTTCTGCCCTGAGAGGGTTGCCAGATATGGGGATATTGCCAGATATTGGGACAGGCTGCTGAGGGCAGTGCTGGAGTCACCAGACACCCAAAGTGTTCAGAAATGCCCAGGTGTGGCACTCGGGACTCACTCAGTGGTGAGCTGGTGGGGCTGTGTGGATTCAATCTTCTTAGAGGTCTTCTCCAGCCTTAATGATTCCAGGATCCTGTGGGAGCAAAAGGCCATGCACAACGCTCCTACAACTGCATTCCTGCCCTGGCCAGAAGGGAATTCTCCCTGTGCTGGGTCTGACCTGGGCAGGGTCACAGAGGCCAAAGCATTTGAGAACATTTCTCCAACCAAAGGCCAGGGACAGATGTCCTGTGGGATGTGTTGTGGCTTTTTCTCTCCCCACAATGCCCTTTGTGCAGCCCCACAGAATTCATTAAATATTTGTGTGTGTGTGTGGATGTGAATTTATTCACAAAAATTATGTGGTCAAGCAAAGCAAGCTCATTTTTGCTGTTGCCAAGAGATCACAGCATCAATCACTGTGAGTTATGTGCACTCTTGTCTGCCCAGGGCCACTAACACTAAAGGAATTTGGGGGAAAGAAGATCTCAGACCCTCAATATAAACCCATCCCATCCCCAAATCCTGGACACTGCTGGCAGCTCTGGTCACTGGTTACAAGAATAAAAGGATAAAGTAAAACAAGAAAAGGTGCAGGATGATGAAAGTCTGGAACATTTTCTGTATTTAGAGAAACTACAGAGATTATGATTTCTAAGTCTGGAAAGGAGATGGCTGAGCAGGGGTGTGAGGGAGATATTTATAGTCACAGTTGTCCTTAAGATGTAGAGAGGAAATGGCTGTTGTCAAAAATCGAGGAGCAGGAAATAAAACTGCCAGGTGGCAAAGTCAAGGCCAACAAAACAAGGTGTTCCTCTCTCTGGGCCTAAGGGAGCTCTGGAATTCCTCCCCAGGGATACTGCAGGTCACAGGGGTCAGGCACCCCGGGAGCAAAGCTGTGGCTCCATCAGTCTGTGCTTCCAGAACCTCTCTGGGTGGGAGAGCAGCCCAAGGAGATGCTCCCACGTGTCCCCCACTCCCCAGGGGCTGCAGGAGGCAGAATTCCTGACCTGCTGCTCTAATTCCTTCCCTTTGGTGCTTCAGCTGTCAAATTCTCCACCTACCCCACCCCCAAAAAAGGTGACTGTGTAATATTTACTGCGGGTTACCAGTTCATTGGTGAAAAATGGCAGAAGGCAAAACAGCATCCCTCATTTTGGTGTTTGCTCAAGGATTAGGTTAGGCCAGTGTTCATGGATGTTACCAGTCCAGAAAGACATCACTGATGACATTTACATCTCCTCAGGCAAATCAGTGTCTGAGATGGTGCAGAAGGGCCTGTGAGTTCTGGGGCATCTTGTGAAGTTCACTGAAATGGGGAAATACCATTTTTATCTCATCTCAGTGTGGTCTTTATATGGAGCTGGCATCTTATTTGAAAAATTTTACTGAACTCAGGCCTTTTCAAACAGCTTCCACTAAAAATAATTATGCACAAATAAATCTCAAGTAAAAAGTAGCAGGGCAATGCCTCATTAATTACACTGACAACAACCTTTCACTCTGAGAACTGCATCACCCTGAGAAATGCAGCAGAGAATGGCACTGCCAGCACTGAATCCTGGATGCCAAGAACCTGAGTGCCTTGGCAGAGAGCTGGGGAGTCACCAAGGACATCCAGAGCTGGCTCCAGCAGCCCAGAGTCAGAACAGCTCCTGGGAGAGACACTGAGATCACACCAGGGCTGGACAGCAGGAGAAAGTCAGCAAAGTGCTGCTCAGTACTTGGAGCCTGCACACAGCTGAAAGTTGCCCAGTGCAAGGAGAAATCATAAATACACCAAGGAGGCTCTGCCATAATATCTACATCCAAATGACTGCAGCAGGTAGTTTGAAATAACATCTGATGGCTTTTCTGCCATCCTTTGAGCTGCCCCAGGCCACTGCTCACTGAATGAAACACCTCTAACTTTTCCTTATCTTGGAGGCAGCTGTTTATCACCTTTCTCCTTTATTCCCCCAGGCTCCTGCATTTCCAACAATGCTTTGAGATTCTGTGGCAATGTTTGACACCACCAGATGACCCAAATCTGGATGCAGCAGTCACACACTGTCTGTGGCTGGGATCTGTTTTGTCACACAAAACCCCAGGATGGTTTGGGTGAGAAGGGAATTCACCCCATCACACCCCTGCCATGGCAGCAACACCTTCCACTGTCCCAGGGTGCTCCAGCCCTGCCCAACCTGGCCTTGGGCACTGCCAGAGATCCAGGGGCAGCCACAGCTGCTCTGGGCACCTGTGCCAGGGCCTGCCCACCCTCCCAGGGAGGAATCTGCCCCCATTATCCATCTAACCCTGCCCTCTCTCAGTGTAAAGCCATTCCTCCTTGTCCTCTCTCATGGGCATTTCACTGTGGCATCTCCTG